CTCCCAGAATTCCCCAGCCAGCATAGTTGGCTGAGGAATTCTGGGAGTTGAAGTCCAATATCTTCAAGTTGCTAAGATTGAGAAACACTGCTATTGACTGTGAAAGAAAGAAGGGTGGGTGTCATTTACTTGTGTCAGTTTCAACTTATTTCACAGCAAATTGAGATTTTTTGGGAAAAAGTGGTGGGGCACCAAAACTTTTGGCTGCATCTATAGGTGCGGTTCACTTTGGGGAAAAGAAAAAAAAACTTTTCATGGCACGTTGTAAGAATATGCTGGAGTTTCCAAATGGGAAAAACAGGGCAAAGGAGTGTAATTTATCTTAAATCTCCCATTTCTCTTCTTCATTCCATCGTTACTTTAAAAACTTTGATAAAGTTCCATAAACCTACGTGTTTTGCTCTGGAGAGGGAATGCTTTCTGATTTTCTTTTAATCCCAACATAGGCTCAGAGGCTTCTCTATATATACACACTATAAGCACATAAGGCTGAAGGTGGGTCTTGCTTGGCTCTCGTTGGTCCAAACCAGCAAACTCAGACTGGGTATGGAGACCCACCAGCCATCAGGTTAAACATCACTTTTTGCAAGGCCTGCAAAAATGATTGACCAGTTAATACATGAGGATTGTGTGTGCGTAGTCCAAGCACAGGGTGTTGGGCTTGCATTAATGTAGGGCCCTTCCAAATGGTCATATCCTAAAAGTAGAGGGTGAAAAAAATAGAGCATCCAGAATTTATTATTTATTGAACCAATTTATATAGCCGCCCATCTCGCCACAGGCGACTCTGGGCGGCGTACAACAAAGCTAAAAACGGTCAGTAAATACATGAAAAATATAAAAAGCAAAATAAAACAGAGAATAAGTATTTATTAAATATTATTGGTGAATGAATAAATTTATTTTAAAGCAGATAATCAATAAATTATTTGGTGGGTTGGGGACACATTTGACATCACGTGAATCTAAATCAGGGCTGCCAGATCTGGTCTGCAAACATCTGGACAACCGCAGGATGGCAGGAAATTTAAAACGGCAGAAAAGTTACCCTTCGCAAATTATCCAGTAGCTTCTTTCACCGCCCTCCCACCCGCCCAGCGTCTGGGTTTATGGAGCTTCACCGAAGTCTTTTAACTGATGAGAGAGAGAAAAGGACGCTTAGGAAGAATTACATTCTTTTTCTCTGTTTCCCCCCCATCTCCTGTGGCTGCTGCGTTTTGCAGCAAAGAAACAGTCTTCGCTTGTGGTTGTGCAAAAGCGTGATCAAGGCAGGGCACTACGCTGTTTGCAGCAGAGCAGAGGTTCCACCAGATGGCACCAGGGCAACAGCTGGCTGGCCTCAAGACAGTGGCCTACTTCAAAGCTTGCCTCCTCCTCCTCCCCCTCCCCGACCCCAATTTCAGCAGCACCCCTTCTCTTTTAGACCCTTCGGACCTTTTGAACCCTTTGCTGCACTTATTTTTTTCCCATTTCCACCCCCTTCTCTGATTTCTCCTGTCCTACCTTCCAAGGTTTCTGTTCTCCACGGTTGGAGAATCTCATGCCCAGCTCTTTGTCCACCCACTGCTGGGTGAATTAGAGGGGCAGGAGAGGCCGTGGATGATGGAAGTTGAGGTCCAACACAGCTGAGGATTTCAGAAGACGGCCCAGGAGTCAAAATATTTTAAGCTCCGCCTGATGGACCCCATACCTTCCTAGAGTCGAGGAATTCAGAAGGGATCCAACTTCAACCCTGTTCAGTGCAGGAATCCAGATTGAAGCATCTGAACAGACAGCTGGCCAGCCTCTGCTCCGACACCCACCAGTGCACCCTGATGCTCCAGGTTCTGGCTAATGCGGAGTGAAACGTGGTGATTTCCCTGCGCAGTTTTGCATCACTGATCTCTTGGGTCTCCCCCCTGCAGATACAGCCACCCGCCCACGAGGAACGGAGGGCGATCTCAGTTGGGACAGCACGAGGCTAAGGCCAAAGGACCCGAGCCCGTCATCAGCCAGATCATCGACAAGCTGAAGCACATCAACCAGGTGGGCACTGCTGCTTTCTCTTGGGTGTGGGAGCCCAGATGTGGGGAGAGGATCCCTGGGGATTTGGTGGTCCAGTCGCAAAGGCCAAGGAGAAGTGATTTGGGCTGGATTTGCACACCACACTCAGCAGTGATGTGGCGTGGCATGTGGACTGCAGGTTAATGTGCCGACTTGACATTGTGGTTTGTAAGCCACAGTTCATGGTTTAGCATCCTATGCAAGACTAGTCAACTGTAGTTTATTCAATCCTGGTTTAATCAACCCTCGCTTGGGGCAATGTGTCAACCCAGCAAGTGCCCAATTTACTTAGAAGTTTTGGAGGCTCAGCTGGGAGGAGCCTTTTTATCCTCAGCAGGTTTTGTGTTGCCCTTCTGAACACTTGGCACTGTGTGTGTCTGTGTGTTTGTGTGTCTGTGCGCACACATGCACATGTTACCTTGGCTACAGCAGCATCCACATTTGGAAAATGATTTTGCTATTCTGCAATTGCAGTGAGGAAGACAATTATGTTGGATTACTATTTAATGTTTAATACACATTAAATACTATTTATACCTCTCATAGACTACCTAGAATCTCTGGGAAGAATGTCAGTGTAGACATGCTTTAAAAGAAACAAGTAATAAATAACTAAGCAAAGGATGTGGGGGACAGAGAGCCTCCTTCTTGAAAAAGGGACTGATAAAATTAGAGCCCAGAATTTCCAACTTGCATACTGAGAATGCTGGGAGTTGTAGTCTTGGTGTATCTGGAGAGCTCCAAGTTTTCTTAAAACTTGTTGCATAAGTTCTCAATGTAAATGCTCACTAGGAAACTGTGGGTACACAACTCACAAGGCTGTTGTAGTGGGAACCAAATTGGAAGAGGGTGTAGCCATTTTGAAAAGAATGAAGAATGAAGAATGAAGCCATTTTGAAAAGAAGGCAGGTTAGAAATCAAATGAACGGCGTCCTTCCTTCCTTCCTTCCTTCCTTCCTTCCTTCCTTCCTTCCTTCCTTCCTTCCTTCCTTCCTCAGAGCATCTTAAAAATTCCTTTGAGGACCTCTGCTCCCTTCCCCCTTCAGTTCATGGATAGGATCTGAGTGAAAAAGTTGAAGTATGGTGGGGAGCTGGAGAAGACTAGAAGAGATTGAAAGGCATCCGGTTTGACCTGGAGCTACGTGCCTTTTTCCGCAAGACTACTTTCCAAATGATTTTATTTACGATTACGTCCAAAGAAATGTCTACCTATAAATGATTAGACTCTCCAGTTCCAGACCCCCTTCATAATAAGAGGCAACACGCTTCTTTCCAAATGTAGACACCCTCCCCCTAATTACCCGCCTTGGAAAAAGTAATTATAATAACCGTCCAAAGCGATCTGAGGGGAGGTGGCAATCTTTCATTCCCTTCCTGAGCGTGAAGAGAGATAAAGGGGGCTGGAGAGGCAGGAGGAAGGATGGGGTTAAATGCTTGAGATCAAATGCACAGTCTCCCTAATTTGCAATTCATAAGTCATTTTTAGGCGAGGGAAGTGAGCAGGGCAGGGCTGGGAGCAGGGCTGGGGAGGGAAATGCTTTCCCATCCAGAGGTTACGCTGCAGCTGAACTTGGAACATATTTCAGGCCCTCCATATCATGGCGGATCTTTGAGGGACAGACCAACCCACTTATGTCTTCAGGCGCAGCATCGGTCCTTCCCTTCAGATTTGCCATTTTAAAAAAAAAGCTTTGCGCGTGGTTCTGCCAAGATGCTAACAGTCTTGAATTCCCTCGCCCAGGAGGTGGGGAGAAAAAGCAACCGTGTGGGAATTGGGGATCTAGCAGCCCTGGGAAGCTGATAAGATGTGACTGTGCCCAAGTTCCAAGTCTGCGTATCATCCTAATTAATTTTATTAACGGGCCCTGGGCTTTTGTAAGTTATATCTGGCTGAGGAGGAAAGTTGTGAGCAGCGAGGGCCTTGGGGATCTTTGAAAGAGAGATTCCAGTCTTCGAGGGCTGCAGAGTTTATGGTCTCAGCCAACTTTCTGCCAAGCAGAAACGCAGCCTGGCTACGTTGGACTGCAACTTCCATCATCCCCAGACAGGCTGCTTTAAGGACTAAACCCTGGACAGGCGGGTTGGTCAAGTCAAGTCAAGAGGGGCAGTTATGTTGGGGTAGAGCACGTATTGGGGTATCCTGCCAGGAGCAACCCTTAGCAGGGTTCTCTGGATCTTGAAAAGCTAAGCAGGGTTGGGTCTGGTTAGAATTTGAATGGGAGACTCACAAAACCCTAGACTGCAGGCTAGACCAGGAAACTGAAGGACTAGCTACTTCCATATTGCAGGCTAGAGAAAGCACATGGACTAGGTGGTGTCCATAGGGTATGGTCAAAAAAGATGGCCGGCACGATGGTGTGATTGAAGTTCTGCCTGTTTTTTTAACATGCATTGTGGGTCGGATTTCTGTCCATTCCGGTCTAAAATGGGGGAGCATGTCCTGTTTCGTTCACTGGTCGAGGAACGGGAACAACCTGGTTTCCATTCCAAAAGCAATTTCTTTTTATAACAATCCATCTTTTCCTAATTAGGGTGCATGTGAGAACGGTAGCTTTCTAAAAATACACGGATCCATTTGGACACTCTGCTTTTTTGTTAAACGGTGCATGATGGATGGAAAAACGGACGTTATTAGGACCCACCAAATGTCATCCTCTTTGTTTTGCAGGCTGCTAAAAAAGAAGGTAGAAGGATCTCATTTTTTTCCTGCTGGGATTAACAGATCAGGAATCTTTCAGCCTAATCTGTTTTAAAGTTTACAGAAAAATCTATATTTATGGAAGACTTGGGTCCGGTTTTGAAAAACAAGTTAATTTATCACTCCCCCTGCTTTTTTAGAGATTGAGGCGTTACCAATTGGCCTTGGGGAATGTGCTACTATAAATGCAGATTCTTGTATATTTCTGGTCCATGTGGAAGGAGCAGTTCCCGCTGGACAGCTAGGGCGATTAATTTGAGAGAAAGGCTACGGCATCTGGGGGCTACACATAACGAAGTCTGAAATAGTGCTTTTTTAATTGTAAGGAGTCGCCCTGTTCCCCTTGACGTTTCTGAGAAGACTGAATCGTACCTTTCCTGTGCAACATCTGCAAAGCGGCTTCGTTCTCTTCTCCTCTTCTTAAAAGGAGGCTCTGAAGAACAGGGCTGAGAGACCAAAATGTTGCTGGGTTTGGGGAACCCCAAGGCTCCAGGTTTTTGAGCCCCTCCTTGCTACTCCTTTCTTGGCCCCACTGCTGCCCCATCTTTTTCCATTTACGTAGTGGCAGCAATGGCTATTAGTTGCCATCGGAATGATAAGGAAGTGCTGGAAGGAACCCCCTTTGTTTGGGTGAGTGAGTTTCTCGAGCGCACCCCTGACATTTCCAACAACTTCTCACATCTTCTGGGACCATTCAGTCATCCTTGTGCCACCCTAATGGTTATAAAGCTTTGCATCATTTCAACAAGGGCTGGGAGAGGCTGTGAAGATGCTACAGGTTGATGGTGTGAACATGACCGTTGTAGTCCTTAGCCTAATCAAGTTTCAGGATTTGTCATATGGTCCTAGAAGAAATCTTCTGATCATTTCTGTCCTCCTGCTAGATGCAGGACCAGTGCAGTCTTTATTCATATGGGGCAAGGGGTGAATCCTGTGACTTGCCCAAGGGGCTCTCATCCACTGGAGAAAGAGAAGAGGTTGCAAAGTTAGAGCTCTGTGCCCTCAGAAGTGTGGCTGATGTCCTCAACATTTGCTCCTTCACCAGCTGTGAAATGAGTATCTCTTTTCCCAAAGCTGCAGTTCTCTGAGTGCATGTTCTGACTCTAATCTTGTGGTTTAGGTGCTGTGTGTGAGGTCTTGTCATTTTGGTTGATTGTAGGTTGTTAATTGCCTTACTGTTTGGGAGCCTTTCTCCAGACCTTTAACATGATGGAGCAGGGGTGGGGTGGGGGGAGAGTGGGAATCTGTGAAGTGGGTGAAAAGCCCTTGGTCTGAACACAGGGGGAACCCACTCCAGAACATAATGCAGACCAAGCTGGATCTTAGGTTGCTGTTTTCATCCAAGGAACCTTATATGACTGGAATGCTGATCTCTCTAATTGACCATAGTTACCTTATTCTGCTTTCCTTAATTCACATGCACAGAAGCTGACAAGGAGCTGCTTTTCTCTTCTTCCAGCTAGTAGCTCTCAAAGCCTGTTCAAATATGAGTTTTTGTTTCTTGGAAATGAGGCATCAGGAGTAGAAGGTTGGGCCTCTCCCATCTCCACCATGAGTGAGCTGACCTGAATTTGGTTTGCAGCTCTGAAATGTTGTGTGGAGGGTTATACTTGATTAAATTTCTTTGCAAGTGTTTGAGATATGAAAGTCATCTTGGGCTATGCCAGAAAGTTGAGTCTGTTATCCTTCCCCCACCCTTCTGTCCCTGCCCTCTTTTCACCAGCTGTCCAGCAGACCTGTGTTTAATCAACACCTTGGCACCACTTTTGGATTTCAAAGGCAGCAGACCTCTCTTTGAGGAACAAACCACATGTGGGGCATTTATCAACATAACAGAAGTGTGCCAAAGGTAAACAAGAAAAGAGGAAATGGGCCCTGGGCTCTGGGATGCAAAAATAAGCATCTTGTGACACCTAAACAGTTAACAAAATTTGTTTATTGAGACATCAATTCAGTTCACAGAGTGTTAACCCCGACCGCTTTTACACACCACATTGCGTCAAACTAAATCTGACACGTCAGGGCTTAGTGCAAAGAGGGAATGCCAATATGAAGACTGGTGAACATAGTTTATGGCTCTGACGGTTGTGTGAGCTCAGCCATTGTGGTTTATCCAATCAATCATAGTTATAAAAAACATCATGCATGAACTGAGCCACACATAAAACCAGCAGAGCCTTCCCTGATTGTGGTCCCTTTCAGAAGGGTTAAGTCACAATTCCCATAATCACCTCCCAACTTAGCTGCTGAGATAGAGGGAGGGTGAGCTTCCACAAGACTGGAGGCCTCCAGTTTGGTGAAGGGGCAAGGAAGTGGCTAACCAGAAGAGACGTCGACCTGTTGTTTTCTCTGAGGCCCTAAGACAGTGTTGTCCAAACTTGGCCACTTTAAAATGAGTGGACTTCAACTCC